CAGTTATGGAAAAAAAATCACATTTAGTTCATGAAGTATATTGGATCATCACTGTCACTGTGGTTTATTTAATTGTTCCAGTAAAAGAAAAATGTCCATGTAGGTGAATATTCTGTTTCACGCACTCTGCTGAATTTATGTAACTTCTCGCACAGAGTATGATCATTATTTTGTCCGTGTTATTTATTGTCACTCAGGTTTAATTTCCCAATTGTGATTCATTAGATTGTATAAGACTTTGGTGGATTTAGATTTACCTGAACAAACCCCAGACGAGCGTTTCTCTTTACGCCCTTTAACTTCGAACCAGCGCTGTGGATTCATTTCATTGGTTTCAGCACCAAGGACAGAGACCGTGCTTTTCACTGCAGGTGCTGAACTTCAGGCTCCGCTGGTGCTCACACAAATCAAACATACTAACACAATCTAATGCAACTGCTTCCTGGTGAATAATTATTATTCCTCTAACTGAAGGTAACAATTAGTTACATGGATAGTTTTAGTCGCAGCTCGGGTGTGTTGTCCCTTTTCAAAATACTTTTTATTTAAATACATCCTTGATGTCCTCTGATCCCCACAGTGAATCACAGTATTTAACAAACAATATAAAAACAACAGAGCGTCCTGTGAAAGAAGAATAAGGTGGCTGACATTGTTTTTTTTGAGACGTGAATGAGCAGTAATTTCTCCCGAGGAGCAAAAGGGAAGTAAACATGAATGAAATAGAACAGATCCGATCAGAATGGAATAGAATAGAACAGAGAAGAATAGAAGAGAATAGAATGTTGGGCTCTTTATTGTCACTGCTCACCTCTGTAGCTACTGTACGTCTGACAGGACGTGACGCAGCCAGGGGGCGTGTTCACATGAATACACGTGAGGCTGAGGAAAGGACCGAGAGTCAATCAGCATTAATGTGCATACAGCACAATTATTTTACACACACATACACCACACACACACACACACACACACACACACACACACACACACACATTTGACCTTACAAATATTCAAAGAAATGGCTTCATCTACTGTTTAATGAGACACAATATATTTTTTACATTTTCTCCCTCAGTTAATCATTGTTTCTACAAAATAAAAGCAATGTCAGTATCATACAGAAGAACATTTAATGGAAGTCCAGCAGTTTGAAAATTGTATGAAATGAAAACGAAATTTATTTTGCCTTTATTTTCTAAAATTTGGCTCCTGAACTTCACAGGATAATTTTTCCTGTGCCTAAATTTGGAGTTTGAGGAAACAATTTCTAAATAATATTCCCTCCTCATTTCAAAAACCTTCCTTTTGTATCCAGACGCCCTACAGTAAACCTGCAGGACTGATGATTAAAATTCAAATGGTAAAAAAGTACTAGACAGACACACACAGTGAAAATAGAGAGGCTCGTCATTTCGTATAAAATTCAGGATGTTGAATTGGGGCATACAGTGTGAACTTTATTTTACACGAGCAGCTAAAGATAATGAGTTAACACACATCAGGCTTTTTCTAATGCATGAAGTGCTGCAGGCTCATGCTTTTTAAATTCTAATGTGCAGTAATAGTTGTAGTCATTGTGTAATTTATTAAGAAAATGAAAACAACATTTTATTAATAAGACTAGATAACCATAACCCTAAAATTGCTATAATTATAACACAAATACGATGCCTTTTGAAGACTTAAGAATAAAGCAGAAACATTTACACAGAATAATGGGATACATTATTTTTATTTATGAAAAATAAATACATTAATGAATGAATAGAAAGTATTTATCATAAAATCACCCCTCACTGTTGTAAGCTGAGAGCACTGACCTCCAGTCTTGTGATTGTTCATTATTTGTTTCTTTAGCTCAACAAACTTTGTGTCTTTATTCATGCAGACAGGGTGTGGCTGATAGATGTGTGGCCTATTGTCAGTAAGTCCTTAAACATTGTGTGATTCATCAACAAAGGCCTGTCCAGTCTTGTGTTTGTGCTGCATGATGTATACACTCTGTATCTCCACTTGAAGGACCAAGTTAATGTGGTTATTGAACTGAATATCATTAGGCCTATATTATGGAGGCTTTTGTATAGTGCTGGTGGTGATTAAGACGTGTTGTACGTTTTCTTGTGGATAGAGAAATGAAATTATTCCCCACCTTGTTAGACGACCCCTGGAGACCATGACAGTGAACCTAGAGGGGGCATGATTGGGTTCCAACAGGAACGCAGGAGATGTTTGTTCATGGTGGTGGATCAGTTTGTCCCCTTTTTAAACCTTGTATCGTGACGTCTTTGTGGATCTACCATTAAGTCTCTAAATTGTCATGCATGTCCCTCATGTGGACCCTTACCACATGTTCCGATTTGTGTGCCAATGAACATGCGGGATTCAGTGAGGACACCGTGCGTTTCCCTCATCAGTCTGACCCCGAGGGCCCCGGGGCGGCCCTGCGCCTCCTGCGCCCCACATCTGACACTCGTGCAGCCCGACGCGCCTTCTCCTCACAAACATTTTCTCTTCCTCTGGCTTTGCTGCAGTGTCTGGTGTCATTCACCGCTTCTTCCTCGTGGATACACGCGCGGACACACACACCGATATTGCTGTGCAAAACAGGCAGAAAATGGGCTTTGTTTCCGTAATATGGTTGAGGACAGGGAGCCCCATGCGCGGCTGGAGCGAGCCGGGGACAGAGGCTCCTAACCTGGACTGAGCCTGGGAGAATATGAAAGTCTCGCTGGATAAAAAAATTATAATTTTGTCCCATTTAATTTCGAAGCACAATCTGACTATGGGAACTGAAGTTTCTAAATAGACTGGACGTGTGAGTATATTGTATATTTATTCTAAATGCCATAGGGGTTATTAGAAAATGTCGTTTCAGCAACATTTTAGAACAATTTTGAAAAAAAACAACACTGTATGTTGAGTAATCTGCCGTAATTTTCTCAGTAACCTGTTAACATAGTTATTGTACCAACACAAATAATAGACACGTTTAGAACGATGACAAATCACAGTATTTTACCCTGACTTTATCCTTGACCTTTATCTTTAATCTTCTCTGTTTTAATGCTGCAAAGTTAAGATACAAACACATAAAACATATTTTATGGATTGGAGCGATGACCATGTTTGAGATGATTACAGAGGATAGCAGAGGCCAGTTTGTCCTCCCTCAACTTTTCAGCTTGTCACCAACTAATCCAAAGTGCACAGTGACATCAAGTGACGCTGGACTTGTTCCACTAGATCATGTCGTTGACATTTAGCCCTCCTGCTGCACTGTGAGACACATATAGGCTATATATAGGCCCGTGGTAGTTTGTCATGCTTTCAAACAATTCATGGCTTAATTCACTCAACACAGAAACAATGGTGTACGTTTCGAGGTGGGTCGATGTAAGCTGGCATTTAAAACAACAGTGTCTGTGAGCAGCTGTATTGTTCTTTTAAGGAAACCGTGAAGCAGCCATGACACTGTCTTTCTTATGATTTATAATATGGGTCATGATACAGTATCATACAGTAGATGCAGGCCATGCTAGGGTTGTTAGGGGCAGTGGGGCCTAGCTGAGCCTGTGAGAGGATGACAGGTGGATGTGTCATCACTGCTCCTGCAGCTGGATGACTTCACCCTGCAGATGTTCCTGTTGGAGGGAAGGTCACCAGGGCTTTTTTTTTAGACATGATGGTGTGAATCCACATCTTCTCCATTACTGCTGTTTTCCATGCTTATGTTGATGGATCCAGGCTATTGCACATCGTTTCTTACACCACTGTCCACAGACTTCTAGGCTATTCCGATGACGTGGGTGACATAAAAGACGCGTGCCAATGAAACCGTGTGCGTAAAAGACAACCATAAACAGGCTATTGCCTTGACTATGACGTTAACTACAACCTGCTTTGTGCATGCGCGCAGTTGCGTGTGTATATTGGAGGATAGAGAGCCAGTGGGACGGGGAGAGAAGAAGAGCGATAGCGGGAGAGAGAGAGAGAGAGGTGCTCATGCTGGCGGAATGCAATGGCTCCATGTGACCACAACACCAGCTGCTCCAGCGGCGGCGGCGGCGGCCCCTTTAAGAGACGTGGGTTAGTTTTTCTCTTTGGTTATCTAGCTGTATGAGTTTTTGTAATATCATAAAGCTAGAGAACCGAATGTATAAACTAATTCTGCTATCGTCACGCCGGGGCTGAGCCGCCACACCGGGGACAGACAGAGATGGGGAGCTGCCGGAGCCGGAGGATGGATGCAGGCTACGCGGAGAGAGGACCGGGAGCCCGCTGCATCGCACCGCGGAACGCCTCCTGCTTTTGCCTTGGATGCAAACGGCTGCAGAGGAGAGCCAACATGCGGATTCATGCGTTTCTTCCACAGGGGATGCAAGGAGTGACAGCAGTTAGCAACCAGAGGCTCCATTCATAGAGGAATGGTGATGAGGAGGAGGAGGAGGAGGAGGAGAAGGAGGGCCACTGGGTACTGGTTCCTCTGCTGTTTCTCTTAATGGAACATAACCACCTTTTAGCTTAATGTATTCATATTTCTATGCTTTTCTGGTGATGGTGTAGTTACTTGGATGCTGGGAACGAGGATGTGAGATGAACACGGTGTGTAGCTGGAGGAGGCACCTGATTGGTCGACTCCAAGGTGTCACGTGTTCCACCACTAGCCCCCATATCAGCCTGCTTCTGGTCTGTGCATGTAGTGGTGTGAACAGGGGCTTAAACACTCAAAGAAAATGTATCTACACTTAGCTTTTATTTATATTTGGAGGCAGCTTCTGCTTTGCAGGCGTATTCCCCTTTATTGTGTAAAAAGTTAGTGGAAGCTTTACTGCAGCAAACTGAATTTGTTTGTTCCCAGTAGGACCTGTTTTGATTACACTACAGCAAAATAATCCTCCATCAAGTGGATTCTCTTGAGTTTATTTATCTGCGACTGCATTGCAAAGATCAGAATGTGTACAAGTTCTTCATAGTCAGATGTCACAGGTTACAGAGAGGAGAAGAGGGCAATAACTGTGATGCAGTTTGTCATACGGATCCTATTATATCCTTGGATTTAGTTTGATTGATGCTCATATTAGCAGTAGCTTCAGGCCTCATGCACGTGGACGACAGAACAAATGGCCAAATGAGACTCATGTAGTTTATTCTTACAGTTCACAGAATGACAATATACAGGGTGTTAGGATAACGACTAATGGGAGATATATTTAACTCATTCTGTCATATTTACACACACATATGCTAGCCTACATTTCTTCAGTGTGTTTCCATTGTTGGCCGAGCAGAGATTTTGTAGGCAGCACTCTGCTGGGTCTTCCAGAAGCCGTGGGCAGATTTTCTGGCCGTTTTTTTGTGATGCTACTTGGGGGCTGCTCATCATCTCTTCTTTCCCCGCTCTACCTCTCCACCCGAGTCATAGAGAAGCTCCTTTCTGGTTTCCTGGACTGCCTGAGTGATAGGTTCTACTCTGGTGGAGCCTGTTGAATTTTAAAAAAGGTGTTAGCTGCTGGAGCTGGTGTAGCTTCTCTGTGTGTTGGAGAAACGACACAGAGCCTAGTGCTGCTGTTAGAACAGGCCCAGTGCTTACTGCGTCACAGAGCAGGGAAGGCTTGAGAAGGAGCTAGCGTGGAGCTAGCTTTAGAAAATATGTCTCCTGTCCCATCAGGCTGTGCTGCATGTTATTGTGCCATATTGCTACATGTGCACGTGTGCGTGTGTGTGTGTGTGTGTGTGTGCCATACATGAGCGGGACAAGTAACATAGGCTGTAATCCTCAGTTGTATGCAGCTGTAATTTTGATGGTATTAAAAGCTATTAATATGAGCTGTGCAGTTAAATAGAGCATAACACAAATTAATGTTTTCATTAGGAAAACACTGCAGGAGAGTCGGGATACCCATGTCTCAGGTTTAATGTAACATCGAACAGTGAACTGTAATGTCCCATTGAAACAATAGATTTATTCAAAATCATTGAATATCCTGTTGTTTTTTGTCACAGTGTTGAGCACATCGGCATAAATGCAACCCCTGAAAATCTTCTATAATTTTTAGCATGTGTTCCAAAATATTTTTGAAAATGCACGTCCCCATGCAGCATTTAGCGATTTATATTACAGCACGTTCTCGTAAAATTTGACAATGTCATTTGGGCCATGCCAACACCACCCATCTTTTCCCCCCAGCTGCAACAGAAAATGAATGCATGGCTGAGGGGTAATAAATGAAGGATATTGGGAAGAGCCTTTGAGATTGAAATGACGTCTGGCGAGTGACTGAGGAGTCAGGCTAGACGTGGGCTTTTTCCCACATTAATATGTGTCTGTCTGGGCCCTCTCCACCATCAGGAGGAGGCCCTCAACACCAGATGGAGCCCAGTCTAGTCGAGGTCTAGCCAACCAGCACCTGCCATAAGGCTGCAGCATTACACTTCCTATTGTCTTGCAAAGTAATTTATGCATTTGCACATCAACTTGAACCTTAACTGTGCCCCCCAGCTCAAATGTATTCTACAGTTACATTAGCGGAATTAACAAACAAATAAAACAAAAAGCAGTGGTAGGAATAGATAGAATGCGACATGACGTAGGAGGAATGAGGAGAGAAGACAGGGGAGCGGGAGAGGAGACGTGCTTATGCATGTACGCTGTGCATTTCTAACCTGTCATGTCTGTAGCTTTTCCTGCCGAAACCTAGATATGTCAGTACGTAACCCCACCGCTCTCTGTTTCTTCCCTTACCACTTTCTCTTTCTATTCACTGCATTGATAATATTTCCATGGTTTAGTCGTGTGTGTTGCACAGGGGTGAGTGTTGCCTGTTGACAAAGATGTTTGAACAAAGCAGCCGCCCTACTCACCGTCCCAAACACGGCAGAGCAGAATGTTTTAGCTTTACAACCCTGCTGCATTTCCAGGCTATACCACCCTATAGATGTTATCTTGTTTGTGTCACACTTGGCTCCAGATTGCAGAGCTCTTTGTGCATGAGAGTGTGTGTGTGCACATGGTATTGTACCTTTGTACATGTGTCTCCGTGCATGTGTTTACGTGTGTGCTTCAGCACATTGTTATTGCACCCTTTGTGCCTAATTTTATTTCTCCACAGTGTATAAACACAACAACCTGCTGTCGATTACACAATACATCTTTTTTCTACTGTGTGACATCTGGCTGCACAGTTTAGTTTTTTTCCTCACGACTGTGCCTAGGATCTCGGCTTATGATTTGTATTTTAGCTGCCTCTGTCATTTCCATCTTAATGTAGGAAATTACTGAATTTATGATTCAGAGTGGATCGTGAAAAGCTTTTCTTCTTTTTTTTTTTATAATGCTTGGAGATGCATCATTTCACATAACTGTCAATGGATATTACTGAAATTGCTTTTGAATATTGTACGTATGCCTCATGTATATTACTGTTATCACTATATTATTATTGTTATTGTTATTTCGGAATTCAATTTTATATTTGACATAATTCATAATCCACATCTATTTAATTCCATATCATCAAAAATCAATATTCCAGTGTTGTCAGTGTTCTATTTTAATTTACCTTCAATTTGCAATGGCCTACATAGACCTATTTTCTTAACTCAAGAATTCTGGGTTTGGTAGCCTAGCAACAGCCTCTGACCCATGTAAGGGAAAGAGAGTAAAAAAAACATGCAGACGTTAAAGCCGTAAAGTAAGTCAGATTTCAGTGGATGTAATCTTTGAGTATTTTGAGTAATTGTGTGTGTGTGTGTGTGTGTGTGTGTGTGTGTGTGTGTGTGTGTNTGTGTGTGTGTGTGTGTGTGTGTGTGTGTGGTGGAGATGGGTCTCATGCATGTACTGAAACTTTCTATCTAAATATTTTATGTTACTGCAACCCTATGTTATTTTCAAATATTATAACATGTATTATTACCATGTATAATACAGGTTTTCTTTTAATAACATGAAATGCACAATTATTTTAGATGTGTACTTTTTCAATATAACTTGTATATCTTCATTTTTGTCATGCAGTTTATTTTACAGGTCCTGCAATCTGTGTCAACACACTCTCAAATAATATGAGGAAGTTAATGAACACATTTTTATCAAGTTTTAGTTAGTTATCTTGTCTGCAGGATGTAAATATATGCATTAACTAATGGTGTTCCCTTAATCACTATTTTACTTAAAATATTAAATCAGTGACACATACCTTCAAGGGTACACTAGGATTTTGAGAGTGGCCAAAAAACTTTATTGTGGTTGAAATTCATTTGTGCTCAGTGCTGCAGTATAAGAGTGAATAAAGGTGCATCAGACGCGTTGGGGAGTGATGAGGGTTACGACCTGCTGCTGGAACGAACCCTCTCTTAACTGATTGCTTTCTGTTTTTGCAGGAATGTGTGGAGTGCAGGCAGAAGCACAGTCACACACAAACGCATCCCATGTGAGTGAACCTGCGGGGCAACAGGTCAGCAAAGACACACACCTCTTGCTGCTCTGAAGGAACCATGAGTCAACGACCTGGTCACCGAGAGGCTTCATTACTCCACAGTTACAGGTGAGACTTTAGAATAACCCTCTTCAGTCTGCGTTCACACACTCACACTGCTATACTAATGATGTGTATTGACGCCTGAACCTTTTATGCACTGCTTTCAAGCATGCATTAAAAAACAAAAAACCTTTCCTCACCCTCTCATCCACTCACCTCTCTATGCAACCTGAAGATTCTTCAGTTTTGGGATAAGATGCAAGGTGACCACTTTTTGTCATCTATATTTAAACCAATTTATTTTTTCATGCTTTTTATAAAGGAACAAGGGTTGGCAGTCGGTTGCCTGTATTCGCATGTACTGATGAACTGACAGTGTGGCTCTCCCTTACTCCTCCTATTCCCTCATTCTTTTACTAACATTTTATTCAGTAAATAGACAAAACTGTGCTCAAGTAACAGTACCACGTTAACTTTTCTACTTGAGTAAAAGCACTTGGTTTTAGCATCCGATTGTTGCTTGATTAACCAGTGCCACAGTCTACTACATCATAATGGCTGAGTATTGGTGGAGGCCTCTTCTCAACCAATTACATGTGTTTGGTGACCAGTGATGAAGGAGGTGGGATTAAATGTTACCAGTCCCCTCTGATTGGATCAGTGGACCAATTGTCATTAATAATTACTTTGAAATATATATATAAAACATTGTGAACATCTAGCGCAATGGATTATAAAAATGTAGTGGAGTAGAAAGTATGGATATTTACTGATATATGTAGTATAGTCCAATAATGAAAAATGTACTTTCATGTATAAAGTACAGTTACAAAGTAAATATACTTAGTTGCATCCCTCCACTGGTAAATGAGCTCTACTCTCCAATTGTTAGTCTCCAATCTAAGTGATTATTCTGAAGGCGATGTCATTGTCAGGATGAGATACACACCATCTCATCACTGCATGTTACATATTGGTATTCTTAAAGACGCTTGTCTCGAGGATCACAGCTACCATGCTGACAAGCTGGCAAAATCGTACAAGATTTTTGTAGCAGTGATGGAGGTGCTGAAAAAAGAGAAGTAGAAAACTCACTCACTTTCCTCCCAGCATCCCTCTCAGTGTTGAGTGACATGACTAAAGATTAGCTCTCGCTACCCTAACAGCCGCCATAGCGGGGCTATCAAGGCCGAGGACGCCGCTCAGCTCGTGCATGTTCAACCTCCTGCGGAGAACAAAGTAAGACGGAGTGATGGAGGCAGTGTTGGGAAGTGGAAGAGAGGGAGATGAAGCCCCATCCACGGAGATTGAGGTGCGTCATTGGGGAGAAACAGTAGAAGTGATTTTTTTTTTTTTTTTTTTGAATTTCCCTCCAGGGTTAGATGAGCGTTCTGTGACATTGGCCTAGTTCTATATCAGCACCCCCACCACCACCTCCAGAGAGGAGGTTGCGTTTGAGAATCAGACAAGGGAAGATCATAGGGGATTTCACAGCCTGTGGCTATCCTCCTCCATAGCGCTCGACCACCTCTTAAACCTCTTTCGCTTTGCTTCAACTCGACGAGGGCCGCCTCTCTACTTAGTCAATATCATATCCACAAACTAGATAAATCGATGCAAACAAGCTTTGGTCGGACTTGGGCTTTAGAAGTGGAGGCATAGCTACAGGCTAAATTTGATGCAGAGACGCATCAATCCAGAAGTGACACTCCTCACGTCCTCTTTTTTTTTTTTATCCATAACAGCAATTAAGGCCTATAACACATGGGTCTGTACTCACACCTTGTGTTGCCCTTACAGGAGCCATATATTCTGTATGTGCACTTGCTACAATCATTCCTATAGGGAGCCAGAGGATGTGTGATTTCACACGTTTGCAGCGTTGCTTGCACTGGCGATCAGCTCTCATGTTTATGGAAAAACTCGCAGAGAGGGAAGCAGTAATCCGCTCATTTACAGTACCTCAGATACTGTCTGTCTACCACCTCTCTCTCTCTTATCCTCTCATACTCTCTCTCTCTTTCTCAAACACACAAACACACATACCTCAGTGTACCGTATCTCCTCCCTCCACAGCCCACCCCCTCCACCCCCTCCACCCCCTCTCCATCCCCTATTCGGGCTCATCTCGCCATCACCTCTCCAGCTCCGCCACCCCGGAGAATCCAATTCAGCCTGCTGCTCCACACCGTCATGGCATGTTGGCCAAGGGAGATGGAGTCCTTTCAGGTTCTTGGCTTCAACCTCCCTGTTCTCTCTCCCCCTCCTCGTCTCTGCGCCCCTTGCCGCCTCTCAACATTTCCTCAACACGCCTGGTGTATCAGCAGGGGTGTAGGTTGACGGCCTGGTAGCACTGCTCCTGAGAGTCTTGGGTGGAGTTACTCTGCACGTTATGTGACCTTTAAAGTTTTTTTTTGTAAAATTGCATGTGGGAGTGTATGTTTTTTGAGTCCACTCTCTGTGCCTTTGCTCGGTTGTACTGTCAGTTTAGCAAGAGCATCTGAAATAAATGAAGCCTGCACCGTGAGTTTAAAGAGGCCGATTGAAAAGTTTATCAGTAATGGGTTATATCTTTAATGGCACCCACCAAGTTGGCAATCTGCTTTTTAACAGCTCCCTGTTCACTGGGTTGTTTTTTTTTCTTCAACAGTCTTTTTTGAATTTGTATGCGTAAACTGCACGGCCTGGCTGTTCTTAAAAGTTGATTTAAAGTATACCCCTCTGCATAATGCAGCTTGGTAGGAAATAAATCTCTTCAAATGAATACACTGGATGGAGGGAGGTTGTGAAAAGGGTTGAATGTGGGGGGGGGTGGGCACTGAGTGCAGAGTGGTGGCGTATGTTAACATAAATTAAAGTCTTTCTGCAGAGGCGCTCGGAGATGGAAACAGAGAGGAGGACGTGAAAGTGAGAAAATATAGAATTGAGTGTAAAAGGATAAGAAGAGTTTTAAAAACAAGAGTTTTATTGTGTCAGTACAAACATAAGCAAATAAGTTGTGTTAGCTAATTAAAATGCATTGGTGTTAGTTGCTTTATTTCAATAGCCGGTTAGCCGTGTTGTTTTTCTTCGCCTCCTTAAAGCACAAGAGGCCTTTTGGCATCTCAATGCACGCTGGCTGAATGGGTGAGGTGGCTGTATTAAAGGTTGGTGGTGGCAGTGATGGCGGGGTGACAAACAGAGCACGAGAGGGAGGGATTGTGTAGGGAGGGGGGGGTGTCCACTGAAAGCCAGCAGGCTGCAGAGTGAATGGGAAATGGGGGAGAGAGGGAGGGAGGGAGGGGGGCATTAGCGACAGAGGCAGGTTGGGGGTGGTGGTGGGGCGACCGCGGGGGCCTCCATTGGTTCAATGCAACGGCCGAAGCAGCTGTGAAAAGAGGTCTACCCTTTTTCCCACGCCCGACGCGACGCAGAAGCCCTGCCTCGGCCTGCCAGGGTCAAGTCACATTTCTAATATATACACCGGGCTGTGTGGACTCGCACAATGCATATGCACAACTCATTTGTTTTATATATGCACACAGACAGACACACACACTTGTGTACACACAGCGGAGAAGACAGCCTCCCAGACAGAGACATAGGAGGGGGCCGCTGCACAGAGAGAGACGAGAGTATTATGACACTGATTTCTATCCCATTGGCACCATTGTTCCGTCCAGGATCCTGAAAATTAACAAGGAGCAAGTGACGTGCACACACACACACACACACACACACACACACACACACACACACACACACACACACGTACATTTCACCACTATACTTGCTCTCTCCACAGTTTGAATTTAAGTTTTTCACTTGTTTAAAATCACAAAATATGGCATGAAAATTTTAAACTTTGAGTAAAGTTTAAACAGAATTATGAAAATAAAATCTTCCACTTGATCCTGATTTTTTTCCCCACGTCATGGTTGTTATTGTTACACTTTCGTAAATATCCACTTCATTTGCTTGCACTAATACATCTTCACTGTATACACCAACAATCGTGTCGTGCTCCAACCCACCCTCCTTACCCCAACCTCAGCCCCTTTCTTCTGCTCCTCACACATTTTACGTCTCTGCCACCATTTACAAACTATAATCATATTCCGTGTGGGTGGGTGGGGGGTGTAAACGCTTTGTCCTGACAGACCCCTTCCCCTCCACCCCCTCCTCAGTGCCAGATGCCCTGCTGTATTGTGTGGGTACTGGGGGGCAGACAGGCAGGCAGGCCCCTTCCTCGCTCTTTCTCCTTCTCTCTCTCCGCACCATGATGTCACCCCACTTGTCTGTCTTTCTGTCTGTCAAGGCCGTGACAGGAACTTGAGTGTGGGAAGGAAAAGCGTTGAGGATGGGAGGGGGGAGGTGGTGGTGGTAGAGGTTCAAGGAGGGGTTGTGGGAGTGGGAGGATGATTTTGGGGTTGGCTGTCTTGGCAGGAGAGTGTCTGAGAGGTCAGCGAGTGGACTTGAGCATGGAACAAGTATGTTTGTGTGTGTGTGTTAAAGGGGGGTGGGGGCGTCTCTCCTAGCAACTCTAAAGAGAGGTGGAATTTAGATGAGTACGTTGGTCTATGTCATCCAATAATTCAGTCCATACTCCTCTGCAAAGAGCCCGAACAGCGAGAATATAAAGAGGAGGGTGGAAACAAAAGCATCTGTTTTCAGTTGGATTGTGTAAAGTTGACAGTTAAGCACAGATGTACTGAAGTCAGGATTCAGGATATTATAAACATGTGCTGTCCTTAAATAAATCTGGAAAAAATTCTGTTTGTGAACCTTTGTAATAGAGGAGCCACAGCTGAGTCCATGAAGTTACATTATTAGAATTATATTTTTTTATTTGGGAGGTGATGAAAACTACCTCCGCAAATGACTGAAAGGGACTGTTCTGTGTGTTCTACTGAATGCCATTCTAGTTCATGTTCAAACTGGCTCAGGATTATGTCCTGTGGATTGTAAAATGAATGTTGTTCTGGTTTATATTGTGTTTTACAAACTGTGCTGTAATAGCTCTTGACTGAATACTAATGAAACATTCAGTAATAATCTAACCCGATATGGTTTCCCCCTTAAAAAGT